GGGCCTACCCCCGCTACTCGAGTGTTTTCCCCCTGCAACCCTTCACAGTCACGGCCACAAGTAAGTACCGGCCCTGCGGGGCCTTGCAACCAACAAGTACCCTTGCGGGTCACACACACACTCAACCGACAAGCACTCAGACAGGCATGCAAACCAGCAGGCACGCACACACACACAGACATGGAAATCACAACAGAATGCGGGAATTTCAACAAGGCATTCATTCCAGCGGCTAATCCCAGAAATCAGCAGTGTTCTCAGTTTGTGTTTTTGGCGGGTCATCACATTACCCCCCTCTCAAGAGCGAGGTCCCTTCGAGCGAGTAACTCATTCAGAGTTGGCACAAAATGCATCGTAGGAGTAAATAAGAAAAAGAGACTTAGTAAGTCCGTGAGGAGTCATTTTTGCAACAAATTTAGCATTCTGTCCCTCAGCGATCTGTCGTTCATAAGCGTTAACAACACGGGGAACACTCTTTAGCAGCTCTTTTCGGTCGATCCAGAAGAATTCAGCCAACGGGTGATAGAGGAAGTGAACCTTGTACTGTTTGTTCCTCCCTCTTCCCTCGTGAGAAACGATTCTGTCTATCTCATGGCCGCCGTCGATAGGGCGAGGTATCATAGGGTCTCGGAAGGGAAAAGTCTCATCATCAATGTGTGGGAACAGTTTGGACGCATGAAAGCCCGGATACGTGCGCAGATGAGGAGGCACGTCAATCACAGATGAAGGACCAAAATCATCCCCAATCACCTTCAGAATCTGCCAAGGGCCATAGTACAATGGAAAAAGCTTTTGTGATACGCCCTCTTCATCAGAAAAACTCGGACATTTGACCCAAACATAATCCCCTACTTTGAATTTTTCTTCTCTGCGCAACTTGTTCGCATGTTTGATCATGGCATGCTGGCGCTTGTTCATGGCTGCAATAACAACTTTGAGCAAGCGTGCGTACTTGGCATTGTAGCCAGGCATGCGGGGCATCATACCAGGTGACCGTTCGGGGAACAAATAGGAGAGGGGATTACGCATCGGCCATCCATATTGCAACTGGTTTGGTGTCACACCAGTTGCAGAGTGAATGGAGTTGTTATACAGTCCCTTCACTTTGTGCAGCTCCTTGTCCCACGTGTTCTGATCTGGAACAATCAATGCACGAAGTAGTTGGATGACAATCTGGTTGATCTCCTCGGCCAATCCATTGGCTTCGGGGTGTCGACCATAAGTCTTGTTCAGTTTAATGTCATAGATTTGAGAGGTGAAGTCCTTCCAATCTTTGCTGATGAATCTGGTGTCCCGATCACTCGCAATAGTTTTCAGGACGCCAAAGTGGAGAATGTACTGCTGATGGAATTCTTCAATGACAAGCTCAATCGGGGCATGAGGAGGGAAAGGAATCAAGTTTAGAATTTTGGAAAAACGGTCCACGATGACCATGACTTGTGAATTTCCAGCCTCACTCACCTTTCCCATGTCCGTGAAATCGATGGAAATCGATTCACCGGGTCTATCAGGAATGGGGAGGGGTCTCAGCAAGCCATAAGGCTTGTGCCTGTGGACCTTTGTTCTTTGACATACCTGACATTCAGCAATAAATTTCTGAGCAGATCCTTTCATTCCTGGCCAATCAAACTGCTGCAGAAGACTTCCATAAGTCTTCTCAAAGCCGAAATGTCCACTCCGACCATGTGCCAAATCCAAGAAATGAGACCGGAGAGGCGCATGGTTGGGTACACACAAACGATCAAACTTTCCATACCGGCGGAATACAAGACCCTCGCACTCATGAAAATCAGGCTGACCGTTAGGGTCAGCCTTGAGCTGCTCAAGGATGGGATTAAGGTCCGGATCCTTGGCGGTGTGTTCGACCAGATCCTCCTTCGGTTTCCTTCGGAGGTCATACGAACCCACAAGGCAAGTCAAAAATTCAGGGTGACGCGACAAAGCATCAGCAACGCGATTATAACAACCTTTCTTATGTTTCAATTCAAAATTGTACACATCAATGTCATGCAACCAGTGGGTTAGTGTAGGAGAGAGATCAGTTTGTGTCTTAATCCACTGCAAGGTAGACCTTGAAGTGCCGACCCAAGAGGTAGTGATTCCAATGTGTGAGCGCCTCGCGCAAGGAGTAGAGCTCACGCATGTATGTGGAGGTAGCCACCTTGTGGTTGGGCATGCGTTTGCTGTAATATTCGAGCGGACGCAGTTCATCACCATCATCTTGTTGCAGCACTGCACCAATCCCAAACTGGCTCGCATCCGTAGTGACTACGAATGTGAGGTTGGGATCCACAATGCAGAGCACAGGATGACTCACCAATGCCTCTTTTATGGCTTGGAATGCAGTTTCACACTTCTCACACCACGCATAGGCAACATTCTTACTGGTTAGTCTTATAGAGTGGGTGAGCAATGACATAAAAGTTTGGCACAAACTTCCGGTAATACGAAGCCAAACCAAGAAAAGAACGCAGTTCGCCTACGTTCGTGGGTTGAGGCCAATTTCGTATGACCTCCACCTTGGTTGCCTCCAGCTCAAGGTCGTTTGCAGACAACCGGTGACCAAGATAGATGACGCTGTCCCTTCCGAACGCAGACTTCTCTAAGTTGAGGTGCAGCTGTGCCTCTTTGAGGACATGCAAGACCTCCTCAAGGTGCTTGAGGTGCTCTTCCATGGACTTGCTGAAAATCAAAATATCATCAAGGTACACAACCACAAACCTGTTGAGCTGATGGCGGAGTACCTTGTCCATGAGGCTCTGAAATGTGGCTGGTGCATTCGTAAGACCGAAGGGCATAACGATGAATTCGTACAGCCCATCGCGTGTCTTGAATGCAGTTTTGTGCTGGTCACTCGGATCAACTTCAATCTGGTGGTAACCAGACTTGAGGTCGATCTTGGAGAAGACCTTGCACCCACCTGCAGCATTCAGCAGATCATCTATACGAGGCAAGGGGTATGCGTTCTTGCGGGTGATACGGTTTAGGCCACGATAATCAATGCACATCCGGAGTTTGCCTCCTTTCTTCGGCACAAACAAGACAGGTGCACCGAACTCAAACTCACTAGGCCTAATCCATCCACGGTCGATCATATCATCAATCTGCCTCCTCAACTCCTCCAATTCGCCTTGTCCCATATGGTAGACGCAGCCCTTTGGAAGAACACTCCCTTCTATTATTTCGATTTTGTGTTTGACCGGACACTCGGGAACTCCACGAGGTTCGGCCAAAACTTCAAGAAATCGATCTAATAGCTGGTGAATGTTTGTTGGGACTTCCGGTGGAGGATCGTCCTCATCAGGAGAAAGAAAATCAGTTTGAGAATTTACAGTAATTACAACCGGATTCGAAGTACTTGGATCAGAAGTATAGGGATTATTCACAGTAGAAGTAGATGGACTAGAAGTAGAGGTGGTAGAAGTAGAGTTATTTACCGAGGTAGAAAATGCAGCAAAAATCGAAGGCACATGGAGAGGCTTTACAAAAGCTACATGTACATGCTCAACTTCCTTGCGCCTGCGCACTGATTTGCATAATTTGTTTGCACTTAGAAGAGTCACAGGGGACTCGCGTGTCTCATCCAATAGGATGGTACGCTCGTTCCCCTTGGCATCACGCACCACAAACTGATTGTCCGCCCACGTGGTCCTTAGGCAATGAGCCTTTAACCAGCCCAAGCCAATGACCGCGTCGAACGGACACTTGTCCATGACATAGAAGTTGAGCTCATGTGTGACAGTGCGGTCCTTGTCAAAGGTGACGCGCACACCTTTGACAACATGTGTAGAGGTGACAATCTTGGTTGCCCATCTGGGTCTGACAAGGGTTCTGCAGTTCCACTTGCTTCATTCCCAGACCCGCCTTACGAATCCCGTTAGGAGAAAATAAATTAGTGATTGAACCGCTATCAACCAGCACGCGGATGTAACGGCGGTTAATGAGCAGTTTAAAGAAGGTTAGTTAGCTCCATACTCCCTTGAACACGGCGTTGCTGCTTGAGCTGCAGCCAGTGTTCCACGTGAGCGTGGAAGTCAACTTCCTTAGACTCCTCCCAAGGCTCAGTGTAAAGCACATGAATTGCAGCGACCTTGGATTCAGCGTCGTTCTGGGTTTCAAGAGTAGGCTGTTGATCAGGTTCAGGCTCATCGGAGGGGCCTGCAACTGATGTTCCAGCTTCCCTTGTTGTAGGGAGTGTTGATGACTCTTCGCCCTCTGCTTGTTTCCTTAAGTCGATAACAGTCCTGCACAGCATGCCCAGGCTTTTGACAATGCAAGCATATGCGCAGTCTAGATCTTCTTTCCCATTCCTTTTGACTGATACGGAGGGCTTCCCAAGGCTTGGTAGATGCATCCTCCGGTTTCTCAAGGATCTTCGCGTTCTTGGGGAGGTGGACAACAGTTCCCTTACCCGAACCACAGTTAGGCCCCTTGTTTGAAGCAGTCTTTCTAAAAGCATCAAGTTTTTCGTCTTCATTTACGTCAGACTCAATGGCTGATGTGGAACAGCCCATATCGGAGTCCGACTCTAGATCGTCATCTAGAGACAGATCATCCGCGTAGGACTGATCTTCAGCCTCCCGATGTTCATGCAGTGCAAGTTGGTTGCTGCTTCCATACCGCTTGCGTTGTGGTTTTCCACCTGCAGCGGGCGCCTTTTTACGCCTGGCGAGGTCCTTGGCCTCTAGGTTGACTAGATCCGTCATGAACTCTCGCCAAGTAGTATGGTCTTTGAGTCCTAGCAGGGAGAGGTATTCTTTAGGGGCCACTCCCATGACTACATCCATGCAAGACACGTTGGTCATTCCCAGATCTGGAGTGGTGAACAAACCAGTCAAGTGCTGTTCCAAAGCTTGCATGGAGGATCTCCATGTTTGACCCTTGAGGGTTTCAAGCTTCAGCCTAGCCTTGAGCGCAGCATGCTTGTCTTGGTACCGCGTGATGAGAAGGTCCTCAAGGGTGTGCACAGGGGTTACCTTCAACCACTCAGTCAGGTCAATTCTTTCATAACCTGCAGCAACAGCTTGGAGCTCAATGTGATTCCGTACGGCGGGCTCAGTACTAGTGCCCATGATCATGCTTCGGTSTKCTTGCGGTGTCCGCATGACCTCGAAGTATGAACGCATGGAACTAATCCAAGAGGTGATATCCGCTTTCCCGTCGTACTTGGACGGCAAGSTGGCCGCCCGCTTGTCCACTACGGGACCGCTGTACTGAACGCCAGTAAGGACTGTGGTGTTTTGGGCTGATGCCCCTGCATTTGGGACTATGACTAGTGCAGAACTGCCGGCGCTGCCGCTCGAGGAGCTGGCACCGGTTTCTGCGCTCGTCACGGTTCCACTTGCTCTTGCCACGAGGACTGTGTTAGATTGAAAGACTGGGACTGCAGCAGGTCCAGGGTTAGAAGGGCGGGGGGCAGACATTTGGGACTGTTTGAGGCTGAGTATCTCAACCTGCAACTCTTGGTTTCGCTGCTCTAGTGCTGTCACACGGGACTCAAGGTCTTCCAAGGTTCGCAGTCGAACCAAGGCTGCTACGGCAGCAGCTAGTCCCTCCTGAAACCGGTCAGCATTGGCTTCCGGGATCCGAAGGAGGGCCACCTGATCAGCAATGTTGGCGGCTCTGGCTGCTTCCTCTGCCTCCCTTTCCCTCTGCACGACATCATCGTAAAGCTTCTGGTAGAACGGTCTCTCGTTCTCATCTGCTGCATTCAGCATGGCCTGCCTTTGGGCAGATGTGATGTTTGCCATGCCGGAGGAAGGGGTGTGAGTAGATCTCTCAAGAGGGGTCCGCTCTCTCCTTACGTTTGGACGAACACTCCTCTTGCCCCTCCTCACACTCTCAAACAGAACAACTTCTCTCTCCCTTCTCTCTCTCTCAGCTGTCTGCGCACGCGTCTCAATACTGGACATAGATGGTTCAGATGAAAGAAACAAGCAGAAAATCACACAGAGAAGAAGGTAGAACTCCTAGCCGGAGCGGCGATTCATTTGGACTTAGAGAATGGCACACAGCGGAATAAAAGAATAAATAAATAAATAAATAAGTAAAATAAAATGGAAGAGAGGGCTGACTTATAGAACGGGCCCGATCAGATTAGCTGGAGATCCCCTCTTGTCTAACCTGACAAGGGACATGTATCACAATAAATCAGCCGAAGAAGGTTAACTGCAGCAATGGAGATTTCGAGGGGTGCAGACGGTCGCCGAGCCAGACGCGGGGCAGTATGTGATAACAGGCGGTAAGACCAGTCAAGATCCCCTTGAAAGGAATGCCCTTGCTAGCCGTATGTCGCCCAAGTTCAGCGCAGCAAAGAAATGCACATGCGGCAACAGATTTGGGCCCGAGAGGTCCTGTCCCCTTGGGCCTGGTCCCACTAGGTCCCGAGGGGTCCCAAGTAGGTCGTGGACCAGGACCAACGTGATAGGGGTACCAAGTCGGTCCCAAACTGCCTCTACCGTACTGAAAAGGAAAAGACAACTTTCAGCAAGAACTTACCCCTAAAGCCATTCAGAAATGAAAAGACAATGCACCGTAGAAAGATATGTCATTTAGAATAGATACATCATCCATCCATCCATCAGGTGAGAAAGCAATCCACATGCTCACACACACAACCAAGACCGCAGAGAAGAGGAAGAGAGCCCAGCACACCCCCCAACAGGCCATGAAGTACCAAGCAACCTCCCACGGGCATAACCAGGTCACACGACACTTACCTGTGAGGCCCGGCCTCAAAAGATGGATAACGATGTGAGGAAACCCGGGGAGGGGCTCCTACCGCTCGCTGAAGCCAGGGGCAACGCCGCCTGTCACTCGGCGCGCCCACTTCCGAGGTCCTCAGCGACAGATAGGGTGTTGGGGCTTATTATCTCCTGTTACCCCTGCCCGAAAAAGCGCTTTAATCTAGCGTTATCAGATCATAATTCTCTTGAGTAATTTTGTTCAATGAGCGCTTCCCCCTTTTCTGGAGTCAGAGGCAGATGTAGATTGGGCCTGATCATGAGGGTTATCTGTTTTGACTCTAACAAGTTYGGTTTTAAAAGGGAGAGTGGTCCAATAAGGCGAGTCGATTTCCAGAGAATAAACAGTCCCTTCAACATGCTTAATTACCAGTAAGCTAGAGAGTCAAATCAGCAGGCTCGATCAGATGTCCAGCGGAGCAATCAACAGGTCCGATTTTATAAGAGCAAACGGACCACTCGATAGGCTTGACTTGCAGGGAGCCATCGAGCCAAATCAACAGGCTCCATTACATGCCCAGCGGACCAATCTACAGGTCCGATTTTTGGAGAGCCAACCGAACCAATCAATATGCTCAATTTGTAGAGAGTCAACGAGCAAAATCATCAGGCTCGATCATACGGTCAGCACACCAATCAACAGGTCTGATTTTTTTTTAGAGAGCCGGACCACTTAATAGGCTGAATTTGTAGTGAGCCAGCGAGTCAAATCAACAGGCTCCATTGCATGGTCAGCGGATCATTCAACAGGTCTGATTTTTGGAGAGCCAACGGACCACTTAATAGGCTGAATTTGTAGTGAGCCAGCGAGCCAAATCAACAGGCTCCATTAGATGGCCAGCAGGCCAATCAACAAGTCTGCTCTTTGGAGAGCCAACGGACCACTTAATAGGCTTAATTTGTAGAGAGTCGGCGGTAATGAAGATCTCCTGCCAGCAGCAGGGGTTGATCTTTCACTCTCTTTCTCTCTCTCTCTCTCTGTCCCTCAGTCTGCTGTCTCTCCCTCTCACTCAGTCCGCTCTCTCTCTCTCTCTCACTCAGTCCGCTCTCTCTCTCTCTCTCTCTCACTTAGTCTGCTCTCTCTCTCTCTCACACTCAGTCCGCTCTCTCTCTCTCTCTCACTCAGTCCGCTCTCTCTCTCTCTCTCACTCAGTACGCTGTCTCTCT